TATAATAATACTAAGAATTCACATTATAAAAATTATATAAATTGGTGCTGTGAAATACCTTTATTTTTATTCATGAAATATACTTAAAAATAGAAAATTTGTACATCGTTCACTTACTTCCCCTTAATTCTTTATCAAAATTTCTTGACAACAGACTTTGCTTTTGGATCTTTAAAATACATTACTTAAAAAATCTTACTTTTGGGTGTGTTATCTAGGTTATCTAGTCTTCATTCTATGCCCATCCATGTATATTTAAAAAAAAATAGTGTTTTATTGAACTTTCGAAAAAAAAACCGACAACCTATCAGATAATGATTTTATGTTGACAGAAGGCAAATGGTGCTTAATAGCTAATGGATACATTTTTCTTTTAAAGTACAACTTTTAAATCTGCATCAAATTTTTTTATCAACAATTTTAGAATTTCAAAACTATTCCAAGCTTAACAACTTTCACCGTGACCTCCCTTTCCTTTATTTAAAAAAAAACCCGCAATATCATTGTCATCCTCGTAGTAAATACTAATCTGTTACAAAGAAATTTGAAAATTTTAGCTGCTGAGGACCTATGATTCTTACACGCATTCATTTGGTTGAATAAAAAGAAAAGTATCTACAGTATCGGACAAATTTGTCAGAGAAACAATATCCAGGATGCTTAGGCTACACTGACTTTATTATCTGAACTCACATGATAGTTTGCCGCCGTGATCAACTTAGGTTGTGCTTGATTTTCATATGATGAAGACATAATCTTTCTATCAGTTTAATTGAGATCTGGAGCTGGCATGGGAGTAACTGCTAGTAGTCCCTTGTTAATCTATTTATCATTTTCATTTTGCTTAGTTTCTTTAGTTACCTATTCTGACAGTCACACGGACTCGGACTTCTTTTAAGCTGAGTTTTACTGTGCGTATTGCTGTGTGTTTGTTTATTAAACATTGGATAGCGATATAGGGGAGGGTTGAAATCTCACAAAACACGTTTAAACCCGACGCATTTTTGCGCTTGTCCAAAGTAAGGAGCATCTGACCTTTGTTATTTTTTGTATGTTTTTTTTTTATTTTAGTTCATATTTTATGGAGTTTAGTGTGACGTCCATTGAACTAGTATACATTTTGTATAGGGGCCAGCTGAAGCCCACCTCCGGGTGCGGGATTTTCTCGCTGTGTTGATGACCCATTGGTGGCCATCGGCTGTTTTCTGCTCTTTGGTCGAGTTGTTGTCTCTTTGACACATTCCCCATTTCCATTCTCAATTTTATTAGAAAAAAGTCCTTTACTCTATATTTATGCTCTCCATTTTTATGCCAAACCTTTTACATTTTGATTTTTCGTGTCAATGTTGAAGGTCGTACGGTGACGTTTAGTTGTTAACACCCACTTCATTTGGTTTCTGATAGAAATTTGTCCATTGACAAACATGCCACATAATCCATTTTATATAGGTATTGGATATTTTACACCGTATTTTGATGGCCATGCAAAAGGATCGTAATCCCGCAAATCATATGCATATTGTCTTATCTCAAAAGGGGGCTAGAGGGGTTCCATTAAAAGGTCAATCTTTTTTTATTTTGCTCAAATCAGATTAGAGTAAATTCAAAATATTGATAACCGATAACAGCATTTTAAATTATCTTAAGTGAGAATACAGAAAACAGTGAATTAAGAAATAAAAAAAAACAGTAAACAGGGATAAAAAAAATCTTCCTAATAACAGTTCACAACAATGTCAATTTGAGAAAACAGAAAAAAGCTAATTAGTCATTAACAGTTAACAGCACATATATCTTCAAAATAACAGTTAACAAAAGTCTAAAAATGCCCAGAACACCTAAACAAAAAAAAATCCTGCACCCCTCTCAAAAATCAAATTTAAACAAAATAGACTCGACATTGCTCATATGAAATATCCACCAAATATATGCTAGGTATATTTTCTATCAATTACACAAATTTTCTGCTTAAATGATCTTGAATATTTGCCTCTTTAACTAAAATATAAAGGCACAGAACCAGGACATAGGCGCACAGAACCAGGACCGTTTTACCTAATCACCAGCACATCGTCAGGACAATTTCGTTTGGCAGATTTGCACGACTTTTGCAATAAAACATTGTTGTAATATTCCTCGCATGGTACTTAGGACGTATCAGAGAAAAAATAAGCAACAGAACGGTTGTTTTATTGCCGTTCTGATATAATGTAAACAAACCCACCAGCACAGAATCAGGACCCACCAGCACCAGTCAGGACCGAATCACCAGCACAGAACGTTCTCTCGCAGGACAACCTTACCCACCGTGTTGTTGCTCTTTAAATATAAATATATACATTTTGCATATTATGAAGCAAAAAATATTTCGGCTGGGGAACGAGAATGTCGGGTATTCAATGGGGACTATACTATAAAAGAAAAAATAAGACTCTTGCCGACATCCTTGTTTGTACCAGCAAATAGAGTTGTCAAATTTATTTCATTAAAAATGTCGTAAGGCGCGAGTCCCACTCTCGCTTCCAAGCCAGGCCATGTAGTCCCCAGACATCCAGACATCCTTTCTACCTACAAGAACCGCAGGAGAACTTGACAAACGTGAGAAGGAAGATGTCCATCATGTTTATCAATATAGAATCCTCAAATACAATCATTATCCCATCACAACAAGTGGTCCCCATTGAGAGGTCTTTAACAAACACGACAATATTTCCATCACAACAATATGATCATGTTTGTTAAAATATCTAAGTTAACATTAGGGGATAAAGGTCTAATTCACCAAATATGGCAAAATTTGTTGAGTGCTTATTCACTCCTAATGCAAATCTGCAGAATTTGAGATGCAGTTTCTCATTTTTTTAAATCTTTACAAATTCTATGGAAATAATTCAGTTATGTGCCATTTTTCAACTTTTGTAAATCAAATCAACCCCATATTTCTGAATCATATATAATAAATTAAATGCGGATTTCACTGTGTGATCAGAAATGTGCATCAGAGTGGAAATATTTGGTTTATAACTAGTAAAATGTTTATAATATTGAGAGAAAACTTTTAAACCTTTTTCATGTATAGTGTTGTGTTTTTTGGGATGTATATGTGTCTTTATATCACAGCTGTGCACAATGGGACGCGTGCCACATGTCTCTTCAAGTGTCTATATATAAGATACGCAAATACATCATGATTGGTGCTATTCTTGTAAATTTATCTGATATTTATGGTTCATGTATTCGATGGTTTATTTTGAACGTACAGTTGAGTAAAACGACGAACACAAATATGTTTTATCTTCTAACACCGAAGTGTCATATTTTGTAAGAAGCGGCAATCGCATATTATGGCACCTTGGGTAAATTAGTGACGATGTGATTGGTTTTACGCCGTCAAGTGGTGGCCCTATGGATCCGTAAGGGGTCAGTAGATTTCATACGGGTATCATGACATCACGTCTACAGTTATTGTTATTGTATTACATTGTTTATTTAAATTGGCAGTAAAAATCTCCCTTGCGATAATTCGTTATGTACGGTTCGCTATTGACCCCCTACGGATCCAAATCCAAAGGGTTGATGCTGTAGACCGAATACCCTATGGATTTTAATAACCCTCCGTAGGAGGTCAGTAGCAAACTATATAACTTATAGAATGATTTGTTTAATGATGTTTTGGTCACTAGAACTTATTGAGCATCTTCGATATATTGCACATACTTATACATGTTATATGTGAATAAACTGAATAGTTTTAGGATATGAGATGTACCATACACGGAGTCCGAATGCACAGATAATCTCGACAGCATTTAAGACTAAAGAGATGAAATATTTGACAAAAAAAATACCAGTTCCAATCAACGAATGGTGCAATTGCATGTCAATTCCGTAAAAATTCATTTTCAACGACTGTTTGTGGTTTCATAAATGGATTTATTGATTGAGTGTTGCTGGCATAAAAATTCAGGATAACAATTAACAATTAGTTAAAAAGGTAGGTTTTGTAAAGACAATCGATAGGGATAAAGGGTGGGAACTTTTGACTGCCGCTGCAAAATGAGGGTAGGCTGGATATGGAAAGAAATTTTGCCTTGAAACAGGTCACTTACAGAGCGTAACTATCACTTACCCTGCACGACATTTCGAACGGACGTGGCTATGTAGTTATACATCTCGCACAGCCAAACGGATGCCTTATCAACGGTTTTATTGCTGGAAGTACAGAGATGACCAATAGTCCAGTCAAATGTCATTATGGAAATTGTTTTTACCAATCGGTTATCATCATCTAATTTCGGGGCCTCGGTGGCCGAGTGGTCTAAGTAGTTGCTACTGTAATCACTAGCCAGTCAACACTGAGGTTGTGAGTTCGAACCCCGCTCGTGCGGGTGCACTCGACTCCAATCTTAATTGACTAGGATTGTCAGTTTTCCTATCGAAGGTCGGTGGTTTTCTCCGGGCACACCGGCTTCCTCCACCAATAAAAACTGGCCGCCACGATATAGCCCAAAAGCGAGGCTTAAAAGAGGCGTTAAAACACCAAAAATCAAATCAAATCAAATCATCATCTAATTAACTCATCGGTGACTGCTATATCTTAAGTGTTTTTCGGGTCGGGTTTAGAGAGAGTTTATTTATGTTAACACATCTTCTTTTTCTTAATTTAAACGTACAATTCAATTACGATTGTATATCTTTTTCACTTGTGTAAATAAGTATGCGTTAATTTACATGTCTGATAAATGATTTAAATGTTTATCAGTCTGACAATCATCTTATTATAAAGGTTAAAAACTAGATTATCTTTTACAGAAAATATCTTAGATGAACACCCACGTATAGATATATATAATTATGCTGTATATTTTATATATATATTTCATAGTATCGCGGATTTCAATCTTTTTAAATAATAAATTATATGTTCTACTTTGACCTTTTTTCTCATGTTTCTACCCGGTTTAAAAAACCAATTAATAATAAAAAAAACTTGTACTTGCTTTTCTGGTTTCCTGATACGTTTCCACACAAGACATGATACCGCTGTTGCTAAAACGGTACCACTAACAACTTTAGCAATAAGAATTAAATTGTCAACTTTTACGATCTCCATTACTGACAGGTGTGTCTTTTATAATGATATCCTAAAAATTACCTGTATTAATGTACTTTACTAAAACTTGTGGTACATAGGTGAGGATACGTATCTTCATAGTCGACCATTTAACTCTAGTGCAATAAACGTATGCGATATTCGTATAATGTATACACACATCATCTTCTGGTATTCTGCTCTTCTTCATTAGATAACGGAAATATTCAAATAATTTATCTCACGGTTCATTTTGATGCCGTTTGTAATCCATGTCCAGGCAAAGTCGATTATTTAAAAATGAAACAGAACGACAGGGGATAAAAACTGATAGTTTGATATAAAAGTCGGTTTAAATTGATGTATACGAACAATGTACGTATATCGTTCTCGAAAAATCTAAAATTACTTTGTACTTGCACCAAAACAAGAGAATAGCTTAGTGTCACACTTCCTTATTTTCATGGTTTGTCGTTTCAATTCTATTCTTTTTTAAAGCTCGTAGAAATATGTCCTTGTCGTTTGGACTTACCACACTTCCCTATTGTCATAGTGTGTCGTCTCGATTCTATTCATTTGTTAAAGCTCGTACAAATATTTTTTTCCGATAATTTTCTTTGAACTATATATTTATATATATAAAAAAATATATCTTATTTGCAAAGAATATATATAAGCTATTGTTCTAATCGGTATCCTGAGTGTTGGTTAACTGCGAATTCAAGCAAAAATGAAGATATCGCGGCAATGCAGTCATGACTGTTTCTTAAAAGTTAAAGGGACAACAATATTTTTAAGTTACTTCTAACCAAGAAGTCCATGTATATGGTCGTAGAAGTCGGTCCATTTTGATTTAAATGTAAGACATACACTATCCAGTAGGTATTGGACTTATAGTTAAATTCTACTGTATGCTAAGATAACATGTCTAGTTGTGCATAAAGTATTTTGTTTCTACATGTCGGTCTAATAAGGGGTGTTTTTAGGGATCAATAGAAGGTGGGTGTACCAAAGAAACCTTTGGAGAAATTCATTGTCATGTTTTCAATGGATATAACTTGAGAACAATAAGTGACAGAGACATAGATACATTGAGGATTCCGTTTAATTGTCTTAACATGTTTAGTCGAATGAAAATACTTCAAAAGTTATATTAAATTACACATTAGAAAAGTTAAACGATAGAAAACGATACATATGTATACTTACCATACTCCATTAATCCATGCATGAAACTTACAAATTCATTGGCAATAATTTGAATACAACTTCAATATACAAATTGTTGAATTACAGTAAATGGTATGTTATTTATTATATCAGAACAAACTATATTATTGCATATTAATCAATACATTTTTATGCAATTATGCTTCATTCCTTGTGGCTTTTTAAGGGCAAGAAGCGCTTGGGTTACCTATGACGATGCTATTCAACCTTTGCTATATATATAGTCAGGTAATATACTGCAAGTAGCTATGATAACGTACACGTACTTTGATATTACAATTTTTCGACAGTTTTCACACAGCTCTAAAATTAAAATAATTTAAAACATAAATAGCATTAAGTAAGAAACACTGTGAAATGTGCAAGTGGTGTGTCAGAGACAGTATATACACATATGTCTCTGGGTGTATTAATTCAAAGATCTTTGGGTCATGCCTCTATGTCTGTCAACTTTCTTTCCTATACTTATGGTATAAATACTTTAAAAATGATTTCCTATTTCAATTTTAAATTTCACCAAAACATGTCTTATAGGCTAGTTGCTTCACATGAAGTAACAGAGAAACAGAGCAGTGCTATACTTTCAAATGATTTTTTTTTTAAATCCTGTTATTATAAAAACAAAATTATAATAGCCAAAGAGCTGGCCAACTCTCCAACAAAGACCAAATGAAGTAGAAGTTAACAAATATATGCCACCGTACGACCTTCAACGATGAGCAAAAAAAGGCGTAACAAACTTTAAAAAGCCCCGAAATTACAAATCTAAAAAAAATCAAAGGAGAAAACTAACGGCCTGGTTAGCCCTTCTTACTCAGTCCTTTCGCTAAGTTTTCAGTAAAAAATCAGCTGTACTCCACCCTCTTTTTGTAGAATATTATGATAAAATCCAAGATTCATCCTAAAGAGCTCATCATAACTCACGTTTGATTGTTATTGTGAACATATAAAATTACCTACTATACCCTGAGACTACTATAACACATGTGTTATAGTAGTCTCAGCTATACCGTGACAAATTACATATTGTTGATCGGCTGGTATATTTTAATATCTCCTCCTTTCTATTGCATAATTATGTGCACTGATGGGAAACTTTGTTATGATGAACCTTGTTTTTGTGTATACCTGTACTAGTACCTGGATTTGTATGTGTACATCTTTCAATATTTTTTTCCCCTTTAAGCACACCGTTACAAAGATATCCTGTGGTGCTCCAGATAGTGGAGAAATATACTGCCAAGAAAGATGTTCGTTCTTCCATATGAAGGTACAAAATGGTATTGACTTCCTGTCGATTTTCTGTGGAAACATGTGAAAATATGAAGTTTGAAGAACATGAAAAAAATTCCCAGGGACCAATAGAAACTGCATAACATGACTGTTGTAGCAAGCATTTAAATAAATTTAAGCATTTATTTAAAAAAAATAATCCAACTTAAGATGGCAGGTTTGGAAGATTTAGGAATCCCTGGAGGTGATTACCTCAGAGAGTCCCTAACAAATTGCTCAGACCCTCTAGCTGCTATTGAAGAATTTCAAACAGAAAATGGAATTCTTTTACCATCACTTCGTCCTGCATTGCCGTTTCTAGACTTGTTTGAAATCAAACGTTTAGATTTCCATAACTCAGTTCTTGAAGAATTAAGTGAAAATTTAACAAACAGAATAGCAGAACTGGCAAACAGTGAACAAAAGAATAGATTTACAATACTTGAGTCTTTGTTGGAAAAGTGTTTCCCAGTGATAAGGGTGAAAAATCTCAGACCTGTCGTCATGTCAATATTAAAACATTTACCTAAAATAGATGACAAATATTTGACAAAAATTCTTGAAGACAAAGAACTTTACTCAGAAGCTGCAGTAGAAGTTAAGAGGCAAATTTGGCAGGAAAATCAAGCACTTTTTGGGGATGAAGTCTCCCCCTTACTTTCACAATACATAAAAGACAAGGAAAGTTCACTCTTTAATCACGAGCACAGTTCATTAACTTTCTTTTTGCCATCACCCCGAACAAGAAGACAAAGTGATATAGTTCAAAAACTTGCTGAAATGGTGGGAAGAAATGTTAAACTGTATGATATGGTGTTGCAGTTTTTAAGAACTTTGTTTCTGCGAACCAGAAATGCTCATTACTGTACTCTTAGAGCAGAATTGTTGATGGCTTTGCACGATCAAGAAATAAATGAAATCTGCTCTGTAGATCCCTGCCACAAGTTTACATGGTGTGTAGATGCCTGCATAAGGGATAAATTTATTGACAGTAAAAGATCCAGAGAATTACAGGGTTTCTTAGATGGTATAAAAAAAGGACAAGAATTTGTTCTTGGGTAAGGCCAAAAAAAAATATATGTCTGTTTAAGGTTACATACTTTAAAAAAATAGGGTAGGTTGGTCGGTATTTCCATTTTATTTTTTGTGACATGATTTAGAGTCATGCCGTTTCATCTTGTCGTGGTCCAAGTTGATCATGGGGCAAGTTAACCCGTATATTTAATGATTGGATTATTTCCCTTGGTAATTGGTTGGAAAAAAATGGTGGCAAAGTGTTTATTTCATCACACGAGTTGCGAATTTCCTTAAAAAAGCTGTCATATTCACGATTGTGAACATTGGGATGTATTAGGCAATTGATTTATTATACGACCGCAAAAAAATTTTGAGGTCGTATATTGGTATGACGTTGGCGTCGTCGTCGGCGTCGTCGTCCGAATACACAATGGTTTTCGCACTCTAACTTTAGTTTAAGTGAATGGATCTCTATGAAATTTTACCATAAGGTTCAATACCACAATAGGAAGGTGGGGATTGATTTTGGGGGTTATGGTACCAACAGTTAAGGAATTAGGGGCCAAAAAGGGGCCAAAAATAAGCATTTTTGTAACTTCCAGACATAACTTGTGTGTTAGCATATGGATCTCTTTGACATTGTACCACAAGATTCCATATCACAAAGGGTCAATGCTGGGATTGATTTTGGGGTTAATTGCCTCAAAATTTTAGGAATAAGGGGCCAAAAGGGGGCAAAAAACAAGCATTTTTCTAGTTTCATGACAATAACTTGTGTGTAAGTGTATGGATCTTTCTGAAATTTTACTACAAGGTTCCATTTCACAAAGGGAAAGCTGGAATTGAGTGTTGTGGTAATTGCCCAAAACGTTTAGTAATAAGGGGCCTAAAAAGGGGTTTAAAATAAGCATTTTTTAGTTTCTAGACAATAACTTGTGTTCAAGTGTATGGATCTCTCTAAAATTGTATTACAAGGTACCATACCACAAAGGCAAGGCTGTTATTGAGCTTGGTTTGGGGGGAAAGGGGGGTGGGGGTGATGAATCATAAGGGGGGCGGGGGTCAAAAAAGGGGTAATTTTTTTTTTTCCTTTTTTTTTTGTTTTTTATTAAAATTTACATTTTAAGTTAGTTATTTTTTATCACGAAGAGAAAGTAGGAATTGAGTTTTGGGGTTAATTGCTCAAACATTTATGAATAAGGGGCCAAATATTGGTCAAAAATAAGGATTTTTTTTAGTTTGCAACAAAAACTTGTGTTCAAGTGTATGGATCTCTGTGAAATTGTATTGCAATGTACCATACCACAAATTGAAGGTTGTGATTGAGGTGGGGGATGATGAATCAAAAGGGGGTTGAAAAAATGTGTGGGAGGTAGGATTTTTTTTTTTCCTTTTTATTCTTTAAAATTTTCCATTTAAAGATGGTTGTTTCAGATTTATATATGAAAGAAAATAATAATGATACGGTTATATATCATGAGGAATTGAAATTTAAAATTATGTATATTGGAAATTTAGGTTACATTGGAAAGTAATAATTGGCTTTAGGGGGGGGGGGTGGTGGTTATGGCTCTAATGTTTAAGGAATAAGGGGAAAAAAGGTTAAAAAACAAGGGTTTCCATTTTAATAGACAAATAATTGAGTAAAGAACTTTTTCTAAAAGCAGTGTAAGGTTGGTAATTCAAACTCATTTAAATATCTCATCTACACTGCTTTTAAATTATGTAAATTGGAAATTTGCCAATAACTTTATTGTTAATAAATGCATTGGAAATTTGCCAACAATTTTAGTGTAATAAACTTCATTGGAAATTTGCCAATATAAAATTTTGCTGATGAAGGTTTTTTGTTTACCTTTAGCCTTGACTATGAAGTCATTTTCTATTTTTATAGCCTTATGATGTAGTTGAATTATTATACGACTGCAAAAAAATTTTTGTGGTCGTATATTGGTATGACGTTGGCGTCGTCGTCGTCCGGCGTCGTCGTCGTCC